GAAAGAAGCCAAAAGCAGATCGTAGAAGGATACATTTCGATTGCGTCACACTCCATTCTCCTCACGATAAATGACATACTTCCACACAATGCTAAGCTCCTCGAGAAGTTACTCCGAATGTGGGGGGATTGCCCAGACTAGACTCGAGAGATGCTTTCACCCGCGCCCATTCAGTTCACAGAACTGTCCAAGAGATCAGGAAACTACGAAGACATCAAATTTCGCCATCTGTACTTTGGATTCACATGCGATATGTACATCTGCTGTCCTCAGAAAGGACAAACTCTACAAGACTCAAACTTGATCACAGCCTGGAACGCGGTCCAGTTATCAACACACATTACAAACAAGTTTGTTGTCCTATCCAACATCTCTACACTACTTCAGTCTAACCCGTCGTAGCCCCGATTCACTTCCCAAGTGGAAGACTACACTTGCCAACACCATACGAGAGGCGAGCAATTTGCTGGATATGTACGAAAAGTCAAGAGAAAAGGAGCAAGTCAGACCAGAAGAGTGGAGGCTGAAGGCGGATATACAACGAATAAGTTGCAAGGGAATGTTGGCAACCTTGCAGATGTTCGCACAGAAGGAAAGTCATATCTCGGTACTCCGAGATTCTAAAATAGAGCTCATCGCCGCTCAGGATGAGCTATTGGCCACCAAGACTAATACCGAAAGCAAGAGGTCATCGTCTCCTTCAAAAGATGATCAGTCAGCCGGTATTGTGTATGGCCAACCAGAATTGTGAGTTTTTCGGTCGTGCATCTCTCATCCAGTGATCGGAATGGTCTGGTATGAGTTGGTATTGGTATGGTATATACCGCCAAGACCTGGTATGGTTTAAGGAGATCTCAATACCGTGGTATTACCGGTATACAAGGTGATACCGGTAAGGCTAAAGATGCGCCGAGGTAAAAAAGCTCGGAGCAGCAGGTGGCTGGATTTCAGACTAAACTAGTTAGTGCATCCGAAGAAATCCTCAACCTGAACTAATAATCGTAGTCTACGATAGCCTCTTATACCGTTATCATGGAATTTCCAGTTCCAATCTCGCCGTCATCGTTAACGACACGTTCAGCGTCAATATCCCTCGAGACGCCTACATCGTCACCTGCTCCAACATTACCTGTCTCGACGCCATCACCTGCTCCTGTTCAATATCCCGAACCTCCGCATGAGTTTGTACAAGACCACATCACATACCTGAATCGAGCGAAGACGACAAAGAAGGCAGCTCGTCTAGGTTCATCGCATGTATGGAAGTATGGTCTCTATTACATCCGAGACAGTGATAAGAAAGAGGTGTATTACTGTCACGAGTGTGCTGTCGGAAAGTTTAGGCAAGAGCTGTTTGTTATCAACGGCACGTCTAGGGTGAGAAACCATCTTGAACAGAAGCACTAGGTTGACCCTAAGAGTGGTATCAAGAATCATAGCTCGACACGAAAGTCTGTACTAGAGCAGCAGAAGAGCGCGGCTACTACTAATACCTTCTTCTGGAAAGACTCGATTGAGAAGTTCAAAGAGCTTCTAATTCGGTGGATTGTGTACTGCCATATTGCTTTCTTTCAATTAGAAAACCAGTATTTCCGAGAACTGCTCTTCTTTTTGAATCCAGCGCTTCTCAACTACCTCCCAAAGGCAGCGAAAACCATTCGAAGTTGGGTTATGGACGCGTTTCTGTCGAAGAAGCAACGACTCAGAGAGGACCTCCAGCACGCGCGGAGTAGAATCTCCATCTCCTTTAACCTCTGGACTTCGCCAAATCCTTACGCTATTCTAGGCGTCATCGCCATGTGGATTGACGCTACCGGCAAGCGGCGAACTATCGTTTTAGGTTTACGACGTGTGTACGGCGAACACACTGGCGAAAACATTGGTTCAGTTGTCCTTGAATTGCTGAGAGAATATGATATTGGCGGAGATTAGATTAGATACTTCATGCTGGATAATGCCTCGTCAAATGATACCGCTGTTGAATTCATACTCAAGGATCTTTGCCCATGGATGAAGTCAAAACAACGTCGCCATCGCCGGCTGCGTTGCTTGGGCCATGTTATCAACCTCTGCTGCCAGGCGTTCCTCATGGGTCGGAACTGTGAGAAGTATCTAGCAAAGCTTGAAAAGCACTATCAACGCGGAGACTATATGAAGGTGGAAGAGCTGTGGAAGAAATTTGGATGTTTAGGTCGGCTTCATAACCTCGTGCGATACATTAGGCTTACTCCGCAACGCCGTGAGGAGTTTGCTGCAATAATTATTGGCGGAGATCTCTCTGAATTTGATGGGCTCGAGCTTATCTAGAACAACTCGACCCGCTGGAATTCATGGTTTCGTTCAATTACACGTGCATTGAATGTTCGTGAACGTTTAGAGCTCTTCTCGGCTCGCCATGTACCTGGGAAGGGCTCTTAAGGATTGCGAACTTTAAACTTGATGGACAGCACTGGTTCGAGCTTGAAAAGATTGAACTCGCTCTTAAGGACTTCTACGCCGCAACTTTGCTTTTAGAAGGAAAAAGGACATTCCTCGCTGACTGGTTCTTAACCTTGGACTGCCTTCTTCGAGAAATAAACGAGACGAAAGATCACTACTATAACATCCATACCGAAGACGACAATAACTTCACATGGAAGTACCTCCAAAGTTGTGCAGATGCCGCGTGGTCAAAATGCGAGGAATATTACAACAACCAGCAGCTGAATTGGCAGAATCGATTCCCTGAAGATACTGATCTTCCACCAGCGTACTACGCAGCTCAAATACTCGATCCATATCGCAAGTGGGCATGGTTCAGGCAAGAATGGGTTCTCGAAGGCGACGAAGAGAAGAAGAGGTGGTTTGACAACGCACAATCAGCGGTGAAGCATCTCTGGGAGACAGAGTATAAGGGAAGGTACCCTGTCGAGATGCTGCCACCACCAGCCAGAAAGGAGAGAGATCCTGACCCAGCATTTGATCGCCAGAGGGAACACAAGCGTATTCGAATAGACGCTCCAGTCTCTACAACTGATTTGTATGAACAGTATATCTCTACTGACCGGCTTCATGACGAAGAGGCAGGTTGCGATGATGCTATTGCGTACTGGCTATCTCGCTACGACTCCCAAAGAGACCTCGCTCGCTTCGCTCTAGACATGTTTGCGATCTCGCCTATGTCGGATGAATGCGAACGTCTTTTTAGTAGCGCGAAGCTTACTATTGTCGATCGCCGTGGTAGGCTGAAGGCAGATATTATAGAGGCTTGTGAGTGTCTCCGGGCCTGGTATGGAAGGCCCCAGATTGAAGATAACAGCAATAGCGAGGATAGTGAGAATGGCGACGATACGGTTGATACCTACTAGTATATACATTCTATTTCTTCCTTCTCCAACTTCAACCTCATTCTTGGCGGTCTTGGCGGTATTACTGGTCTTACCGGTAAGACCGTACCGGTTATTACATAAGCAGCTGGTATGGTATGGTTTGACCTCCATACCATACCATACCGGACCATTCCGATCACTGGCTTAGGCTAAGCAAGTAGCTGAGCGCGTCCGCCAGCGAGAGGCTCGAAACGCTACTAAAGCTCTCCAATTGCCCCCAAAGTGTAAGACGAAGATCTCACAGCCCCCTAGCCAGACCAAGAAGCGTCAGAAACGCGTTGTTGCTGCTGCAGTTGTTGCAGAGTCTTCAGGAGGTGCATCGGCTTCTCCACCAACAATCACCCGCTGCGGCCGCAACGTCAAGCTTCCAGATAGATATAAGTAGCTCATATTGATGGGAAGCATCTGTTCCTTAACAATCTATAAAATCCCACACCGATAGCTGTTGTACGTGGCTTTACAGCCTCAGTTTTGGTTGGGTTGAAATGGTGTTAGTGGCTCATCACGCGAAGTGGCTCATTACGCGCACGGACACGGTACCTAATTTAGGAACTTGTCCTCGTAAACGAGAGGGCCAGGCTTCTCTCTTTCAATGATGAACACGTATAAAAGGACAAGAATCTACAGGTCATGCTCGCATTCCATTGCATCATCTTTCATACCTCGTCCACTATCTCCATCTAGCAAGACCTTCTTGAGCTACCCCCTCCTCCCCTGTTTTTCCAACTTTGCACCAACGACCAGCGGATCAAAATACATGGTCTGTTAATCCTCAGCCTTCCAACAAACATGCACCTCAGTCATGTGTTCAACGCTACTCTTCTTGTTCTCTCCTCTCTGGTCTCTGCTCAACAGGCTGTCCGCAAAACCTGCTACCCAAAGGGTCCCGAAAGACCCGACTCGAAACACTGTGCTGGTGCGATTGCGGATCTCTTGCAATCCTCTGGCGCCTTCACGAGCGTCGGCGCTGGAGAATGCAACACCGTAGCGGAAATTGGCAACTGCGCTGTATCGTTGTGTGGGGGCCGAGGAGGATTTATATCCCATGAATCCATAGCCGTGGCAGCTCAAATCGTATTTGCCAGTTGCAAGAATGGCGGATACGCGGCCGGACATATTTCACTCGAAGGCTTCGCGTCAGGTTACGACGGTTTAACGGCGGAGACTGTGGGCGTGGTTGTCTCGAAAAAGGAGGCGGCAATGAAAATTTGGCAGACGGGGAAAGGGAACAAGAGAAGAGCACTGACAAGGGCACCAAGAAGATTGCACGATCTCAGCCCCACTGAGCTCGAGGCAAATGCCACCGCGGGGCTCGTTCCTACCCCGGTCGGAAAACGGAACGATCCCTGGCGGTACCAGCCTCCTCCGTCTCCAAGAGCTACTTTCACGGTCAGAGGACGCCGCCAGTACACACTAGCAGTGATGGCCGAAGAAAACACGGGAAGGCCAATTACCCACAACGTGGCAACTGACCTCGGCACTCGAATGTACGTCAACTGGCTCGAGCGCGAAGCAAGCACTGGCGTAATCTTAGGGCGGGCGGAGATGGGCACTTTTTCGCCATGGATGGGTTATTTTGCAGAGGACAACCAGAATGCTGGAGAGATCACCCACGGTAATGATCACGCCGATGACGACTGGATCGCACTGCTGCGTGCCGTGCAGGACTTTCGCAATCAACGTGGCAACCCCGCCTGGTTCTCAGTCCGCGTCTTCAAAGGGAACGACGGCGTGAGAGGCACTGCTGTCGGCTGGTTCGTTTTCGACATGGGTCCGGGTCCGTTGTTGTAATAGTGTAGGTAGATGGTGTGTATTGTCCTTGATGACCGAGAGATCTGTGTTCTAAGCTTATATACATAGAGTAGTGGGCTGATTGGTCGCTGGATAATCCACGTGACCATGCAAGGTACTCTGGCCTTTCAAATAGAGGGGCACTTGCTGAACGCTAAGGATGTACTGTAGCATGGAGGGCCGGGCATAGCCAGTTATACTGCTTTTGTTATTGTATTTTGTTGTTTTCTATCTTTTTCAATATGCTCCTTAGAAGTCTCGATCGGCCTGGATGACTAGTAATCTACAACGTAAATCTACACCATATACTGACTTCAGTATCGTTTGTTACTAGCAACAAATATACAGTTTTGAGGGGATTGGGGACTATGGTGCCCCAATCATAGTTCCTTTCAGCGTATGCACATTAGATTACAAGTGGTTTTTGCGCCGGCGCTTGCTTCTCTCAGTCACTTTGAATGCGGCTAATTCTTCTGACGAAGGAGGTAAGGAAGCCCATACTGCGCCGAAGCAGAGTCCATGGTAGCGCGCAAGATTTAAACTTCGCATCTTGTATCACCGCCATCCCCATGTATCCCTCCGGTAGATTGGCTTCGCAGTGACGCTTCTACCACAGCAGTCTCCCGCGCCCATGTGCATAAACGATTTTTGAGGCGGTACACATGCTGGCAGTCTCAGGGCTCTTGGGTTCGATCTTTCTGCAGTTAAACTAACAGATTACGTGTTGCTCTCGTCTAGTGAAGGACGATGGCGGTGATGGTGCAGCCAGCAGTGCTCGCAACCCACAGACCCGCTGACACAACCAGCTTCCGTAAATCGTCAGGATCTATTTTGAAATTCTTTTCTGAGCGCGTGCAATTCTGGCTATGATATGCTGTCGGTTGTGCATACCTGGTTATTCACGCTGCTTCTTGTTAGCAGCGCACCTACCCGAGTGATTAAGATAGGTCAAGGGCTGTGCTGTGGGTGGGTTGAAGAGGTGGAAAAACGGTTGCAATGGGATATCTGTAAGCAAAGGGTGGCACCAGTATCGGGTCTCATGTAGGAGTGTATTGATGTGTGTGTATGTACAAGTGTGTGATCTGAGCTCGAAAGTAGTCGGGCGCATTAGTCATGCCTGCAGAGCAGTCATGTAATGTGGTCCTAGGCTTACAATATCACTGTAAGAAGGGGTAAGTATAGGTGGCAGTCAAGCCTCACACGGTGCAAAGATGCTTGGTATGTTCGCCAAGGAATATAAAGGTTGACTACGGAGGCTGTGTAGGAGAGGTTTTATAACTCGTTTTGTATTCATTTGGGTCAACTAGCTTTGCTGGAACCGTGGCTGTGTTGGAGCTGTTCTGCAACATCTTTAACTAATCTAAACTACTCCACTTTGCTTGGCTGGGTCACGTGCGTATGTTGTAATAGGCTTCCCCGCCAAGGTCATCGCCTCTGTTATAATCGTCGCTGGTTGGCTCGATCGGTTTGAACAGATCATTGGGTTGTGCCACATTCATAAAAGTGCCTTCTTTGGACATTGCGTTCTCCGAGACATTCCCTTCCAGGTATTCCACCTGCTATGGTACTTTTCTGTCGCAGGCCAAGCGCTTTCGTGAACCTAAACTCTGTTACTAATCATGCCGTGCGAGGGCCTAAATGTAAGCTGAGCTATGATGCTAGAACAATACAACAACTAACACACTCTTCTTGATTTCCCATACTTGCAACACCGCACTCAACCGTGCGACAAAAAGCGATGGTAAGATCGACTGTCAGTCAAGCTGAACGACTGGTTTGTGGCCTTGACTCTTCCTCCCTTTATCGTCACAGAACAGTCAGTGTGCAAGGGTTCCCTTCGGATGTTTACGTCTTCGTCTTCAAGCCCATAAAACGTTGATATTCTTGATCCACGTATTGCACCTCAATTGTCTACATCGACCCGAAGTCCACGCGTGCCTTGAAGTTTTAACCGACGCGTTGCAATACCAGTCAGATTCCTACAGCTTCCGTGTATCAATGAGCTGATATGTCAATCTAGTGACAACGCGAACAAGCAACCAAATCAACCAACGACCCAGGAAGCGATTGGCAGTATAAAATCCTCTCCAGTACTAACCCCTCTAAGTGAACGCCGTCCTTGTGTCAGCCTGTGTACTATTCTCCATGCCTTCTCCATATCAGCGCAAACGACCTCCGCAGCACATCGCCAGATCAACAGTGGTTGGCCGGCGATGTGGTCGAGGCTGCACAGAAGTCATCACCCTCCTTGTAGCGTCTGCGCAACCGCTCTGTTAGTGTTTATCCCTATGTGCAGCTGGAATATTACTTACTGGTACCCCATGATTAGTTCTTCGCCATCATTACCGTCCTGATAAGCGCCCGCGATGTATCGCCCACAAGCATTGGTAATACGTGCCATATTAGCCTCGAAGAGTTCACCATTCGTGTAAGTCAAACTGCTGGACCGGCTGCATGCAAAGGCTACCACGTCGCCGTGGATAGCGTAATAAGACTGGCGGGAGCGTATGAGGTTTGCTGTACATGGAAAAAGAACAGAGTCAGCAAGATAATCTTTGAACCTAAACCAAAGTCCAAATGTAGATGCCTACCTGTACCCAGCTGGCGTTTCATATCACGGACAGCGGCATTGGTACTGTCACTGTTCATGCTAAAGCCACAGCCTGTTGGTCCCCGTTAGCATCCATCTCAGTGTAATCAGACTGTTACACGCACCGCACCAGATCCGACCGTCGCTGCGGCTCTCGAGTCCAGAGCTGGTAACAAGCGCTTCGTTGGGGGAACGTTCGGCATTCGCTGAGACAATCTTGGTGTGCACTTCGGTGCCATCCGCGTCCCTGGCTACAGCATATACACCATTAGTGGCTCCTTCTGGGATGACGAAGGCTTGTGCGGAAGCCAGAAGGGCAAAGAAAACTGCAACGTTGGGGAAAAGCATTGTGATGTGAAGGGTAGATGGTGGTAAACTCGAAGAATTAAATGAAGCAACTGATACTTCTCAGCTGGTAGGATGGCAGCCTACTTATACATAGCAGCTACATTGGAGTGGTCCGTGAAGAGGCTATGGCTTGCTAGCGCCTGAGAGAGCTTCGTCTAACTTGTGTCGAAATAGACTCACTTGAGGCTGGGGATCGCATCGGAGATGGCGACGCCGCACGTTGCAGCCTACTGTGGTATCTGGCATAAGCAGTGTAGGTAGAGACTGTGGCCTCACGGCTTACAGAGTAATCACCACAGACCACGACACACATCACCGCCAGTTGACGGCCACAGGCTTTTGTTCCCGCTGTAGTCTCAACGAGTACGAGCACACGAACCCCCAGTCTCCACCTACACAGCTTATGCTGGACACCACGGTAAGGCGTTCTCTTGGGTGCTCATCGTGCACATCCGCTGTCCAACCTATCCTTGCAAAGCTCGTGCGTTCTCCTGCACTGCATGTCCAATTCTGCTGGGGGTATCGATCTAGTATTCTTAGCCACGAACACGCATCAGCTATCACATCAGTGAAAGGCGGTTGCCAAGCTTAGTCTGTTGCCCATCTTCCGCCTTCCCAACCGATCCGCAAGACGCCTCGACTTCCTGCTGTTACGTTGGGAGTGATTGAATATTTTGTCCAGACGTGCCTTGGCGCTCGCAGCATACCTATAATGTCTCCACAAGTAGCCAGCCGCAAGGCTTAGTTGTTCTAAACCAAACCTGCATAGCACTAAACTACACATCTCCTATGCGCTTCAGAGTGCTAAAGTGGGCGCTGTAGCATATCTTTAGGGTCAACCACGTTGATCCACTGATCGCGTTGATACACCATGGCGTAGAGTATGTCTTCTCTATCATCCATGCTAAACGTTGAGCATACCAGCCGCTTGTTCAGGTCCCGCACAATCAGCAGCGTATAGACTATTCAGGAAGATGTTCTGCGCCTAAAGGTGTATTAGGTGGTCATATCCTGTCGCGGGCTAGGTATGGCCATGAAGGCCAGCAAGTGCGATGTGTATTATAAATCTTGCCATTCGTTTCCTGTAGATACTAGTAAGCTCGGCCAGAACGCTCAGCGCGAGACAAAAAACATCCCGCTGGACTTCACCGTTGTACCCAAACAACTATCCTCTGCACGTATACAGTGCGACCTAATCAGCATAGCGCATCAAGGCGCTTGGTGAGATCTTAGCGTCTCCAGCTATCTCATAGAGTAACAATCCGCGAGGCAAGCGTCAGCGTTGAACTGTGGACTGCTCGTAAGGTGTACTATTTTGGGTTCTCCAGGAGGGCGGGGCCACGATGCTGCCAAGACGGCCGCAAACAGCCCAGCCCTTTGTCAGCCACCTCGACAGGCGTTACCCTGACTCGTAATATCTCTAAGCGACTGGGTCGCGGATTGTGCTATGGAAAAGGTTACCGTCACCACAGTCAATACCCGCCTTATGGCAGTCGCCGCATCCTATTTCCGTCGGCCAGTGGCCACACAGTGCTACCTCCTGTTGTGCGTGCAAAGCCCCAACGTATAGAACTAGCCAGAAGGGGTACGAAGCAACATCCACAGCCCTATGGAGCAGCTGTCCTGAAGGGGAAGCAAGTGGACCAGGCGGTAGGTAAAGAAGGAGCCTTCAAGGGCTGCATTGGTAGATTTACCCAAGATAGCGCGTGCCACGGCCGCAACGTCGAGCTTCCAGATGATTACAAGAAGCCGGTTTAGCCGCATACAATGCACATGTGCTCTGATACTGAATCCCGTACCGATAGCTATTGACGACGGCTCTACAGCCTCGTTTTCAGCATGGTACACTCAATGCTCTGCATACATAGGGTATATCAGTGCATGGATGCACGGGCGCAGCATCTGGGCTCACGCTTTCCTTCTTCACCCGCTCTCGCACCAAGCACTGTTGAGAGGTGGATGTATTGTGCATTTGTGTTCTACTGATGACTATCTGAGCTACGGTTTGTGTGAAAGCAATAGTCCTGTGCTTTGACGGATTCGGCCTAGCGACGTACTCAACCTGACAACGGTGCTGGGTGGTGGAACCCAGGCATTAACAAGCACACGCTAACCTAGAGTTAATGAACAATATAGGAGAATACAGCGCAGTGATCCTATCGGTTGACTAAACTCTGCAGCTGGTGTTGTAAAGGTTACAACATGATCTGTACCTTTCGCCACAGCAGCAGCGACGCCGGAATCTGTCCTGCGGCAACAACGCACAACACAATCATTTGGAGATTGTAACCATGGGCTAAGATGTGACGAATCCTCGCCTGATCACTCTCGGGGAAAGTGTCCAGGCTTCCAGCTGACTTTATTGAACGCATTCCTGTACCTGCGAGATAGCCGGAAAGTCTTGGGTCTGCGAAGCTGTTGGATACCGAAGTCGCGATGGCGAGCACGATCGCAGCGCTTATCAATCGAATTTGTGAAACTGCCCCCATTGCGATCGCTAGAGATGTCAGCCTCAATCAACCGTAAAATAGGGTTAGCTTACCGTTGTCCCGCTGTTCCACTACAAACGGAACCAACACAAGCAAGAAAGGAATGTTGATCCCACACCCAAAGCCCGCAATAAACTGGAAGCCGTAAATCCTCGCTGGCAAGTGAGTTGAACTTGGCAACGTTGCTAATAACGCAAACCCAAGAGTTTGCAATACTCCAGCTAATAAGACCAAGTACACAACCGGCACTTTCGCTTTTTTTGCCAATGCCGAAGCAAGAACAGAGCCAAATGGAGCTGCGAATGTGAATGGTATGGTTTGAACACCCGCCAGAGTTGCCGATGAACCGTGTATCAACTGAAATCTCTGCGGGAGCTGGAATATTGCCACAAACCATGGTCCACCGAGGAAAAAGGCGTTTCTGTATTAGTGAGTATGTTTACAAAGGCTATTCTCTTTCGGAGAATCAACTTACAGCATAAGACTCAGCATCTCGCGGTTCTTTACGAACCGCCATGGAAAAACAGGCTCCACTGTAGTCTCTTGCAACGTCAAACGTCTCTCCCAAAACAGTAGACAGATCCACAATACTCCTGAAACAACAATCAAGGCGATGACATATGCTGATCCCCAGCGGAACTGCGAACCCGCTTCTTCAAATCCAGCCGTGAGAGACAACGTTGCAAAGAGGAGTAACGTGGTACCAACCCAATCTACTCTCTGGAATGTCTCCTTTCCGAACGTATTCCTTTTGGTCCGATCGTTCGGCTGTCCGTGGTAGGGGAAGTTTTGGGGCATAGCAAGGATCAGGCAGACGACAGCTGGCACTGCAATCGGAATGCTAGATCATCCTCAGTAAGACCGAAAGATTGGGGCTAGGGTAAAACAAACTTTATCAGGAACACCCAACGCCAGTTAGCCTTCTCGCTTAGTAACCCTCCGAGGATAGGGCCAAGAAGTAGCGAGAGAGCGTAGACTGCACTCATATTCGTGACAAGCTTTGCGTACGACTGTGGAGGAACCAGTTCTAGCAACAGAACAGTACCGATTGCAAAGCAGCCCGAGCCGCCAATCCCTTGGAATGCGCGAAGCACGATCCTGACTTGCAGTCAGATATAGTTCGAAGGCTAGGATTAAGGAAGTTACAATTGCGTGAGGCTTTGCGATGCCCCGCAGGCCGCGGAGAAGATGATGAAGGTGACCAGCGAAAGACTAAGCATGAACCTGCGGCCGAAGATATCGCTCAGCTTTGCGATGATCACCAGAAACGCTAGATTGACATGTTATGGTAAGCACAAATTTCAGAAGCCGTTCATGCGAAGGGGGGAAATGTCATACCAACGTATCCAAGCAAGTAGCTTGAGTTAACCCAGTCAATATTATCGAAGCGACCAAACTGATTCGTGATGGCAATGGTTGATGTTGTAACGATCGGTATTTCCAAGTTCGTGACGAAAAGCGAGGTTGCCACACTGCTAGGCGGTCAGCGTCAGTCAATGCATCCTCACGGAGGTAAGCCTACACGGCAACGATGGCCCAGAAACGGATTCCGGTAAGGTATTCTGGTGGACAGTCGTCCCGTTGTGATACTATGATCTCGGTCGTATCATCGTTGTCCTTGGAACCACTGATTTCCTCATGGTTTTGGTTCATATGTCGCAGTTCCAGCGCCTTCGCCGGGCCTACTGTGGAGGAAGACATTCAGGACCACTGCAAGTCCAGAACAGAACGATTTCGAAGATCTGGCTGACACCGGTGTATTCAGTATATGTAAACTCTAGCATTTATATCACTTGTGTCCTGGCAATACCATGTCCGCGCGTTATCTTCCGTGATGATTGCATGGGTCCGGGAAACGTCGCGAAATCTAACCTCGAGGAGCTACTTGCGCCACTTGTATGATTTTGGCGACATCCACCGGAGTTGGCATGCTCTCGTTCTTAGATCTTTTCTGCTCATTTTCGCTCTACCGTTGTCCGTGCGCCCAATGCGCAAAATCAGCCAATGCACGCGGAACACCATGTTAGCTCAACCAAAAATGAGGGTTCTACTTGTATCTACCTGGTGACTTGACCATGCCCCACGGCGTGTGGTGGCGGGTGCGCTGTTGATGCGACACCTGAGGCCTCACCACTACCTACAGCATCACCTATACGTTTCCGACGCTTCGTAGCTCGTTTAGGAACCCTAAAGCTTCCTTCTGATTCTTTGGGGACAATTTCAGAGCTCTTGAGCGTTTCGAGCCTTTTGCTAGCGGGCGCGCTCAGCTGGCAGAGAGCTTCCATAGCTGGAGCCGGCATATCGAGCCTAGGTCCTCTGCAGCATCTCGGAGCCTACGTCGCTAAGCCTCTGCGAGCTATACATAGCACTTTGCAAAACGAGCCAAAAGCTGCAAGGCCGGTGTCCGGCAACTCGTAACATAACCGACAAGCTTGTGGGCCTGGCGGGCAGCCCGTCGCGGGATGTTACCCCAAACGGCTAGTCTCAAATCTCATACGCCTGAGTCAAGCAACGCGGCACCACCCAAGACCCGACTATACCGAGGCTTCACTTCTATTGCAGATACCTCCCTTCACGCTAGCAGCCGAGTGTTGTTTCATACCCTCTGCTAACTGTGTCAAGTTGATGCCGAGCGTCAAATAGTACATTTGATTTACACGGATGGTGGTAGTGTTGATTGGCATAAGGATTTTCATGAATAGAGTTGTTTTGCGCAGCCCTCATTTTGCACGCACCGGCCACCCACATTAATCATGCCGGATACCACAGTACTACGCAAGGCCGGCAGTTCAGTCTTACCTTTGGGTCTGCGGTAGACCTAACGCGATCGTTGTAATCCTTGTCTTGCATCAACTGTAGCATACAGTTGCCTGAGTTGCAATGTTGCTGCTTGATCTAGCGAACGAGCTGCTCTATTGCATCTCAGAGAACCTGAGATCAGAGCGAGACATTAACGCCTTTGCACAAGCCAACCGCCGTCTGTACCACCTGCTCAACCGCTATCTCTACCGCTTCAACATTCAACAGTCCAGGAGCTCGGCGTTGTTGTGGGCTGCACAGCATGGAAAAGAGACGACAATTCGAAGGCTGCTACAAGAGGGAGCTGATGCTCAAACCACACGGAACGACAATCGGACACCGCTGCTGTTGGCGGCAGAGAAAGGGCATGAAGGGGTGATAGGGCTTCTCCTCGAAAAAGAAGCTAAAGAAAACGTACAGAGTAAACATTACAGCACTGCATTACAGAAGGCCTCATCTGGCGGTCATATGCAGGTGGTGAAGATGCTACTCGACAAGGGCGCGGACATCAACGCGCTGAGCGACAACTATGACACCGCACTTCGGGCGGCTTCAGCTGAAGGCCACGAGCAGTTGGTGAAGCTGCTGCTGGACAAGGGTGCCGACGTCAACGCACAAGGTCTATACTTCGATACCGCGCTCCAGGCAGCTTCGTCTGAAGGTCATACGCAGGTGGTCAAGCTGTTGCTCGACAAGGGCGCTGATATTAACGCACAAGGCGGACGCTACGACACCGCGCTCCAGGAGGCTGTATCTGGAGGCCACGTGCAGGTGGTGAAGCTGCTGCTCGACAAGGACGCCAACGTGAACGCATCAAACGACAGCTACGATACGGCACTCTACACCGCTTCACAAAGAGGTTACGAACAGGTGGTGGAGTTGCTCCTCGACAAGGGCGCCAACGTCAACTCGCTAGGTGAAGACCACGACACCGCACTATACGCAGCTTCATCTGAAGGCCACGAGGAGGTGGTGACGCTACTACTAGACAAGGGCGCTGACATGAACGTGCAAGGTGGGTACCGCAACACCGCACTCGAAGTGGCTTCATTTGAAGGCTATGAGCAAGTGGTAAAGCTATTGCTTGACAAAGGCGCCGAGGTCTCCAAGCTAGGGACAGACTTGGAAGCCGCACTCCAGGCAGCTTCTTGGAGAGGTCATGACGAGGTGGTGAAGCTGCTGCTGGACAAGGGCGCCGACGTTAACGCGCAAAGTGGATACTACAACACAGCACTCCAGATCGCTGCATATAGAGGCCAGGGACAGATAGTGAAGCTGCTGCTTGATAGGGGCGCCAACACCAACGCGAAGGGTGGTAATGCACTCGACGCGGCTCCATCCTGATACAGTATCAGTAATGTGCGCAGTAAGTGGAGCATAGAGTGAACAAAGTCACGCTCAGGGGTAATCCTTCTGCACCCAAGCAACAACTAGCATCCAGTGTCCACTACGGCACCACAAGAGTCAGTATCAACCTTATAGATTCAGTTCCATGTTGGTGTTGGTGGTGTTTCCATTTGCATACCACACGTAGCATGTGGTAGAAATCTTCGTAGTACGAGGAGCAAGGTTTCATCGCAGTGGAAGCTGTAACTTGAATCAATCCTTGAAGTACGTAACACACTCACCTTCGACATACTAGTCGGCAGCATACATCAGCGACTGTACTCTTTCCTCTCCTGCCATCAACGGGCTGTAGCCCTTTCCGTGTCTCCGTGGTTGTCAGTTTCTAGAGGGACGTCGGGCTAGCCCAGTTACAAGAGCAGGTTGGAGGAGTCTAAAGCGAAAAGCCCAGTCTCCTTTCTGCTTCTACACCTCTTTCGGCTATCTTGACGATTTGCTTTGGCCGCTAGTGTTACTAGGCGCCGACGCATACCGTGTCTGAAACAGCTTGACTACGTTAGGCTAGTAAGCCGAACGTACACATATCTCACTCAGCCTGAAATCAACCTGCCTAATCAAAACCCTCTGTACAGCCCACACAGGTCGCAGAAGGCCAATTTTCGCTACAATCTACCAACTCTAGACGACTGGGATGAACCAGGTGTATTTGCCGTGTGGCTCGGCGCGCTAGACTCCATGCAGAATAGAGCCGAAAGCTTGGTCTTTGTGACGTTTGATTGAGACGAGGCTGAGCGCGACGAAAGACCTTCGCTTTGGCTTGGAAGCGAACCGATATGCGGCTGGGGCTGAGCCTCAGCGTGTGGAAAGGACCGACTTTCTCAAGAAGCCACGGATTCTACAACTGTGCTAAGTGAAGCAACCTGGCCTACCCTATTAGAAGGACAGCTTACGTTACGTTTTGAACTACGCACTCGCAAGTTCCTGTAGACTACAAGGGGAATTGAGGCCAGTGTGTATGTCAGCTCTTAGGTTAGCCCAGTCTATGCACGCAAACACTTTGTATTACTGCCTATCTGTAGCTCAAATAACCCGCGATAGCCCGATAAAGTTAGCATGGCACTATGAACTGTTGTCGCAGCTGTCAAGATAGCCGCTGGCTGTGACTCGGCCTTGTTGAGCGTACTGGAAGCGAAAACCAAACTGCGCTAGCACCGACGGGCTCGCATGATGCTCCCTAATGCAGCTGGATGATTTAGCATTCGCAGCAGAACGCCCATCTCTTTTTCCAGAACGCCATTTTTGACCTATGCAACGACCTCGTCGAGGCCCGCGAGCGGCTTGGACCTGTTGGCCTTTCTGAGAAGTTCTACACATCAGTACATACCTGGTGGAAGAGTCTAGAATTGATATACTAAGGAAACAGTGTGGCTGTAACCGTGGCCGTGCACTTACTGCACGCGTTTAGTCAGAGCACGCAAATCACCAAAACACTCGATCTCTACCTCGCCAGTCGCGCAGCCGAAAAAATCACTAGGCACCAATGCCTTACTCTAGATTGTACCGAGAAGCTTGCCAAAGATCTCGAAGAGCTTACCCTGCTACGGAAATAGCAAGGATCAATACATTTCGCAACGACTATAGAACTAATCGCTACACCGTCCGCTGGTTTACGTGAAACGCGAAAGGAACAAGCAGTACTCCGTCTCCAGTATCACAGCATGGCCCAGCCCTATGTATTCAACCGCCGCGAAGCTTACACACTCGCTCACCCATCAATCGCCTTGCCAAGCAACACAGCCTTTACCTTATCCATGACAGGAAACCTCACCTCCTCTTCCACCAGCCCCGTAAACACCTCGCCGTTTTCTATCAGTTCTTCAACTCTCCTAATTGATCTTTCATCCCGTTACGTCACCCTAGGTCACTTTGACAGCAAGGCTGATCGTATGAGCAGCACAGCGAATATGATGTGAGTTGGTGACCCACAGCTTGTAGGAATCATCCAGGTTTGTAGTGGCACTGATATCGTTATTTGGGGCATGAACACTCCCATGACGGTCGGATTGGCGCTTAATTTTGCATCACACTGACTTGAGCTACATCACATGTTTTAATCGGGTTTGGTAAGGCTTAAGGAAGTGGACTACGTGATCGAGTAGACGGCTCAAATCTAGTGTAGACGAGGAAAGAGACATCTAAATTTCACGATGCACGTGGGCGCGGTAGACTGATAGAGTTGACTGATATATTCACTACGTATGGCTTGACAGGACATTTCTCAGATAGGTTCTAGATAGAAGCGACTCTTCGGACGAATGTTTAAAGTAGGCAGTCTGTACTCTAATTAACTATATCTAACTTATTGCCGTAGCGGTTGAGTGAGAAATCTAAACCAGTCTCAGAGACTGGCTCTGGCATGGCCAGAGCGGGGATAGCAAGAGCAGCAGCAACGGCGAGGAGCTTCATTTTGCTTCGGTTTGAAGGTTGAGGAAGGTTGAGAAGTGATGGTAGTGATGGTAGTGATGGTAGTGAGTTGAGAAGGCGATGTTGTGAGTTCTTGGACTCGGGCTTCTCTGTCTTTTATACATCTCCGCAAGGCAGCCAAGCACGCTACCGAGAATAAGCCGCGAGAAGGATATCGCACGGGCTGATGGGGGCCGCAGTCCGTGGCTAACGTGTCCAAAGCTAGCGGTCAGCATAGCTCTCCATATGTTTTGCTCGCTAAACGTTCCTCGGTTTGGCGCTCATGACGGAACATCGACCTCGGGGAGCGAGGTTTTGTCTTCCGATTGGAAGATATTATTATCTCAAGGTTTAGACGCCGAGACTACAAGCACTTTACGTCGAAGTACATTGGATAAGAGACAGTTTACGTTACAGGTGCATTAGATCTTGTCCTAATATAAGGCGGCTCGCCAAACTGCGACCTCAAAGAGGTGGTATAGAGCGATGTGCAGACTGTGGTGTTGGGCCTGATCAGCAGTAGTTTCTCAAGTGGTTGGTCCAGGGGCTTAGTCGGAGTAAGACCACTAGGCGGAAGATATCATAGTGGATAGGGGATCCTTGGATCAGGCGCGCTGTCGGAGTAAGATTGTCATTAGGATTGGAATTCTCTTTGTGAAGCGTACCACCTTCCTCGAATACGATAGTTGCAGACAGAACACTCCGTAGTTACCGCTTGCTAGGAGGTGATCTTTCCTGAGTGTGTTGTAGTGCACAATCTATAGCAGCGAGAGCAAGGGGTTGCGGACTGTTGTAGTAGAGCGGAGGGCCTGGGGCGTAGCAACACCGAAACTAAACCAGGTGCAGATCTGCGGATCTGCGGTGAGGCACAGCAAAAGTAAGACACCGAGGCTTATTATTGCACAGGAGCGAACTTCGGAGGCCCAGCAAATCCGGAATCAATAGATCAGACAGTACGGCACAGCAAGTGTGAGAACTTGTGCAGTGACATACTGTAGTACCTCATCCCAGCGCATAGAGACGTACGAGGACCTACAAGGTACAGGCACTACACCGCCGTGTCGAATATAAGGGGGCCTGACCCGGGCAGGCGGGTCGCGTTTAAGCGTAGAGGAAATGTCACGCCGACGTGCATGCTTGTGTCAAATACGAGATGACTGGTACTAATTTCGGTCGTTCAATGGCTGCGTTGCGCTGGTAGTCCAAGACGTCAAGATAAACACCGTGTGTGGCGCTCAGCTTTAACCCGCCAGTTGAACGGGGTATGCGCGTCCAAAGAGGATGAGGCACTTAAACAACGCCTGATGCACCCACGCGATGAGGAGGAGTTGGTGAAGTACACAAAAGGACTCACAGAGCGACACTTTATGTCTATAAGACGAATGATCAAGAATCTCGCTGCCCCGGTCATTGGAAAGGAGCCATCGGAGAGCTGGCTTACCAGCTTCCTTGACCGCAACAAAGACACGCTCATCACAGCCTGGACCACCTCCATAGAGAACGATCACCATAGGGCCGATTCTAGTAAGAAGTATCGCTTATACTTCAAGCTTCTGCATAGTAAGAGGGCGGAGTATAACCTGCAGCCGGAGCAAACCTACACCATGGATGAGAGAGGCTTCGCTATTGGGGTGACGGGATGATCAAGAAGGATCTTTGACAAGGCTCGCTATGGCAAGAAGCAGTTCAAACAATCACTGCGGGATGGTAATAGAGAGTGGGTGACTCTCCTAGCTTGCATCTGTGCCGATGGTACAGCTCTTCCCCCAGGCATCATCTACGCGGCAGCTGGCCGAGCTGTAGAGGCAAGCTGGGTCGGCGGAACAAACCTGAAGATGCGCTCTATTTACCTTACTACACCACCTGGTGGCTGGACATACAACGATCTTGGATTGACATGGCTTGAACAGGTGTTTGATCGCTACACCAAGCCTAAGAACAGGAGAGATTGGCGTCTACTCATTGTTGACGGCCACGGCAGCCATGTAACGAAGGGTTTCATCCACTACTGCGACAGTCACAAGATTCTACTTATGATCTTTCCCCCACACGCCACCTACACGTTGCAGCCGCTGGACGTAGTCTGCTTCAAGCCTATGGCTCAAAACTACACCAATGAGCTTGATCTTCGCACTCAGTGGACCGAGGGATGGGTGCTTGTGAAGAAGAGCGACTTCTTTCCACTCTTCTGGAAGGCCTAGGTGACTACCTTTTACCAAAGAGTTGATTGAAATGTCCTTCAAATCCACATGTATTGGTGCGCGTTGCGGCAGCATGCGCATTACAGGCACGGACACGGTAGCTACCTCACAAAGTAACAATCCGCGAGGCTGGCATCAGCTTTTCGTGTTGCATGCTCGTAAGTTGTACTAATCTAGATTCTTAGCATGGCAGGGCCATGGTGCTGCCAAGACCGCCGCAAACGGCCTAGCCCTTGATCCGCCACCTCGGCAAGTCGTTTTCTGACTCGCAATCCCTCTTGGCGGCAGGGTCGCGGATTGTGCTATGGAGAAGGCTACCGCCACCGGGGCCCAGATCCGCCACATGACGATCTTTATGTTCTATTTCCGCCAGCCAGAGGCCACGTTATCGACTACTGGTATGACCGCAAGGCACACTACCACCAGACACTCTACTACGACTTTGGCTAGCGTTCTGTTCTCTATATCGTGACACTCTCAACGTGCTACATTCGAAGCGACTCTGAATAGCGATAGCTTCACGTGCTCCATCCCGGTTCTCATACAGGCGCCAATCTAATTAGTCGAGTATCTTCGAGGTGGAACAGAATGCGTTGACAAAGGCACGTTGGCGGGGAAACCTCGTTGTACCGTGGACGTGGTAGAGATGTTGGAACAGATGGTCTTCGCGGTAGAACTTCTTGGTCGCGTCGCACTGCGCATGTTTGTGGTCGTCCTCGAGGTGCGCCTGACGAGCACTCCAGTCTGCAGGTCGAGGAAAGCCTTGACCGCAATACCCGCACGTATCCGCGTTAGGTCCGTTGAGAAAGAGCTTCTTGATATGCTTGAGATTGTGACAGGCCCAGTATGTGCTGCGCATGTGTTGCGAACGGCAGTGTCGGTCCCGGTCGTTCTTCAGTCTGAATCTCGTGCTGCAGTGCGTGCAGCAATATGGTTTTTGGGATTGGTGTTCTCTGTTTGCAGGTCAGTGAGTGGCAATGGAAGATGGACGACAGTCGTTTACGCTAGCTCTTTCTGAGTTTTGAAAAATTGGGGAGTCCTGCAGCAGGTGCACTGAAACCACTCGGCTTTGGGGTTGAGAAGGGATAGAAGATCCATAGTAATGCGTGACAGGTTCGCGGTGAGATCGTCCGGCTTAAAGCTCCAAGGAGGATAACCTCAGTGAGAGGACGCGGTAGCCTTGAGGGAAGGCAGGGTGTTGAAGGAGGCATCGGCCTTATAGGGCACAGCATGGCCCGATAGTATATTTGCCCTCCCGCACTTAGACTAGCCTGCTCCTAGCTAAGTGGACTGCGATTTGGTATGACATACGCGAGGTTTGACGACAAGCTTACTTCGGGGGTCCGACATACTGCCCAACAACCTCCTACTGCAGCCTTTAAGGGCTGGGTGCAACTTCTTCTGAATAACAGCGCAGACGTAACAACCGACCCTTCTCTCGCATGCCTACTTCCAGCGCCTGTTTCTTTCACTAGGGAATGAAAGCACCGAAAAATAATATGCTTTGATTTCTAATGATGCATTGCTCCAGCGTGGGTAGGAGTGATGTAGGATCGTTTGGCTCGTCCTCCTTTGAGACATCGGAGCGAGAGACTACTGAGAATAGACGGAAGCTACTTACAAAACACAGATGACGTGATCGCAAATCAAGCGGCGGATGTGTTGCCTCGCTGCACAACTCAGTCCGCCACCCATTTGCATCACTCAAATGGGGACCTGCGCGATCGGCTGCAGTTCTCGCTGATCCGCCTGTGGCTTGAAACTCTCGCCACCCGCTGACCAGACCTGGGCTCACGCGCGAAGATAGGAGTGCCTAGGTAGGTTTCAACGCATATTCACCTCATTCTCCTAAAAGATCCGTACACTGCAGCTTTAGTACACTTCTGTCCTCGGCGATGGTTTGTTTTGGAGGACAGCGAAGGGAGATCGGAGACAGATCGGTGGACGGTAGAGGCTTGCGCAACGCTAGCTACCACACTCTAGTACACTGACAATCTATTCGGAAACACTCTCAAGGCTGTACTTGAGAACTGCAGCTCAAGGACGATACACGATGCCGCATCGCAGTGCAGCATCGCGAGCCCTCGCACATGCTGATTGGCCTGTCTTAGAGTGTTAAAACGAACACTAGGTGCGCCAGATCGGGGTCAGAAAAAGCAGGGCGCCAAGAGGCGATACCACTTTGATGATGGCCATGCGTTTTGTGTTGGAATGGTGGGCACAAAGGCGGAGAAGACCATGAAGTATCGACTCCATCCAACTGCGGGTGGTGTTTTGGGGTTCGCTACTAGTTGGCTAAGGGTGTTGAAGACGACAAGCTAAGATTTTGTTTCTAGAAGCTTTTGCCTCCACACACTAGCCATCGAAGGCGTGGCAAGTTATCCTGTGCGAGTGCACCACGGCGGTCTATCCTGCGCCCGTGTGTAAGTTAGTGAAGCGTGAAGTGCTTAGAGGACCCGTACCATGCGAGAGTAAAGAGAACCTGCTCGTTTTCTCGAGTTGTCGCTTCCTGTTCTAGCTAGACCGTGCTCAGCATGCCATTGATATGTCAGCTTCGTGCTTCAGAAGTTACCCTGATCCAACTCGAATACACTGCAATAAGCTACATTAACTCCGAGCCATGAACAAGGCAACGGGAGACGCACGCCAGCGTCCGTTGAACATATAACTGCCGATCTTTTCAACATATGGGTCGGAGCAGAAGTTGGTTATCAGTTGCAGGCGCGCATCCGTCTACTGGCGACAGTATCTACATGAAATCGACACGAAACAGGGTGACCCATAGTCGGGTTCTATCAACGATAGCTCTAGCCGTACGTAAAAGAACGTAGTATTGATTGATTTTCAATCTGCACGCCAGGATACGCGGATACACCGTTGATCCTCGAAGCGGACGGACTATGACAAGCCAACAGATTTACTAATCTCTCATCACATGGACGCCTGTAGAAGATATATGACGTCTGTGAGGCTAACGCGGTGATGTCGGCTTTGCTTCGAAGTGTAGTGCAACACGTCGAGTTGGTTTGGACGTGTCAGTTGGCCAAGCTGAACACTGCTAGTACATGCGCAACGAAACCACGGGCACACAATATCCAAACAGGTGCATAGACGTTAGATGAAAAGCTCAATTGTGCTAATCTCTGCTCTTTCCATAAAATACCTCTCTCCGCCAGCATTCCAAGAACCTCAACCGGCGAGAAGAATATATAGCATATATCCAAAACAATAACTATCGCTCTTCAGAGTTTCCCAAAACATTGCGATCATGGAAGATAAAGTAATGTTGTCAAATAGCATGTGTTGCTGTCTGATGGAAGGCCATCCAGCAGGCAATTTAGCATCGGTGTCGATTGCAGCCATGTTGGCCGACCCGCCTCGATCCTACTTCGGCCTTATTTGTACGAGAGCATATACATCGTGATAGCACCACCTTCCAGGGGGAAGACACAAAAGAATCAACATCTATTAATTCTATGCATTATCTTATCTAACCTGACAAATGTATGCTATGCTATGCTCGTGTGAAGATCAAGAAGAGTGGTTGGCATGATGCAGTCCTGTTAGTGGGACCTTAATGTCGTCACTCAGAGTGCTTTTGTTTATGCACGTCGATTGTGGTTGCATACATGGGCAAACCGTTAAACGGTTAAACGACTTAACGAGCTTTGTTATCTATATAGCCCGTGCAATCGCGAATAGGCCTTTCGTTACATCGTGCACCAGACCTGTGTAAGGGGCTGCGCAAAGTATGCCGATGCCTAGTAACAGGATTGTATTCGATGAAGAAGAAAACCTATCTATGGTGCTGCGATATCTATATACGTTTAGCTTATCGTTCGCGTAGCATCTTGAAGCTTCTAGAATGCCGAGGAGGCTCCGAAGGTTCCACCGAGGATCACTATAGCATCCGGGCTCTAGCCCGTTACACCTGTGGCCCAAGCTCCTTTTCGTATTGCCTAAGTAACGCTGTGCACGGTGTAGGTAAAGGCCTGTTCCACAATTAAGTCGTTAAACCGTTTAACGGTTTGCCCATGTATGCCACTGTGGTTGAGACCTATATGCTGCTAGGCGAGAGGCAGTCTATTATCCGGAGTCAAATGGCCAGTTCCTGTGGGCTTTGGGGGGATGGGATTTGTGGAGCTAAGAGTGTTGCTGCTGGAAGGCTTGCTAGTCGGGTATGAGACCGATCTGGACGGGGCTGGCTGATTCAGGCCACCGGTTGGGTAGCCGGTCTGGTACGGAGATTTGACGCTAACAGCGGAAGAAGTTGGCTTGGGTTCAATGCTATGAGCGGAGCTGAGGCTCGGGATCGCGTGGGGCGGCTTGAGTCCGCAGGTGGGATTGTGCGGGATCTCGGTGATGCAGGTGGTGGTTATGATACCTTGGTCGATAATGGTCAGAGTCTTGGTGATAGCTGGGGGATGAAGAGCAACAGTGACGGTGACGGTGTTCATGACGGTGGCTTGAGCAGGGCAAGTGCTAGTGACAACGGGCGTGACGGGAGTGGCGGCCGGCAGTGGTGTATTCGATATTGAAAAACCCCTGTCAATATTTCAATATATATTGAAAATATTGATTTTTTTCAATATTGATTCTTCAATATGGAGTTCTTCAATATTGAGGAAATATTGAGGATATTGAGAATACTGAGAATATTGAATTCAAGCATGCAACTCGCTACTCGGAACAACTTCGGACCTCAGAGCTTTACCAATAAAATTTTCACACATTCAGAACCACGAAATAACGTACTTTCTCAACCTCGGTATGGCACATAACGACATCGAAATGGACGACGGCACCACCTCTCAGCTCTCAGGTCTCGGTTCTTCTCCACCCGCCAACTTCTTGCACGCAGAGAGCCCCGGTTCTACGGCTACTACCGAGAGCAGAACTTCTTCCGGTCGCGGAACCAAGAAGCGTACCCAAACCGCTCGAGAGACTTGGAGCCACGCGAAGAAGTTCGAGCGAGATGAGCAAGTCCGACGTGATCGCTATGGCAATAGGATATGGGCTTGTAATAAATGCTCATGGGAATCAGCTTCTCTAACTTCCGCTCGAAACCATCTTGATCGTACGCACGGCATCAAGGTAAAACCACAGCAGTCACAGGTTGTGACAAAGGGACAGGCGAAGTTTGAGCAGATTCTGCGACGGCAGGGCGAGAAACAACAAGCCCAGAATGATGAACGCGAGCGAAAAGTACTCAAGAACGCTATCAATACCAAGGCCTTCGAAGAATCTCTATTGCAGCTTATCGTTAACAACAATCTTCCACATAAGTTAGTGGAGTATCCGGAGCTATACTCCCTGATCACAAGTGTCAATTATATGGCAGCAGATGTTTACCCAAAGTCTCGAGCCATGATACCAAAGAAAATGGACCACTCCTTTGTACGGACGAAAGCTGAAATAAAACAACAACTCCACTCCGCACTTTCTGAGATACATCTCGCCTGTGATGTCTGGACAACTGAGTATAAGAAGAAGGCTTTTCTAGGCGTTGTTGCGCACTTTGTTGATGCCGAAGGGAACTATCGCACAGCTCCTTTAGGCCTACCACAGTTGCTCGGAAGTCATGGCGGTCAACTCCAAGCAGAGCATGTGAATAGGATGATAGACTGGTATGAGATTGCTCATAAACTTGGATATTATACCGGCGACAATCATGGCTCCAACGACAAGTGCTGTCGCTTTATCTCAAGCCATCTTCAGCAACGATATCAAGTTGATTGGGATCCAGAGGTTCACCGGATTCGCTGCCACGGCCACGTCATCAACTTGGCTAGTCAAGCTTTCATTTTTGCTCCTGATAAAGAGACGATTGATGCGGTAGTGAATAGCATTAGACAAGAAGGGGGGTCTCTAGATGAAGACGATCTGAATGGTAGTTTTGATGAGGATCATGAGTATGATGAGGAGGCCAGGCTTTCAGCAGCGTCAAAAAAGAAGAAAGGGCTTAGTTGGAAGGATGCTGGGCCGCTGGGAAAGCTTCACGCGATTGTCGCTTATATGAGAAGTTCTGAACTTCTCTACAACGAATTCCTTAATGCTGTGGGTCGCATGATACCTATGGACAACGATACCCGATGGAATAGCTGGCATACTATGAATATAGTTGCTTGTGAGCTTGAAGGTCATGTCGATACCTTTGTCAAGAACCACTGGAAGGCGATCGGAAGCACGCACTTACACCTGACGATTGGGAGACTCTGCGCGAGATTATCGTCTTTCTTAAGCCTTTTGAGAAAGTTACGACGGGAACTCAATCCGACCTTGATCCCATTGAGAAAACCTTGGTAACAATGGACATCCTTGTTAAGCACTTAGAGAAGCAGAAGAACAAGCATGCAAACAATGCCCAGTTTCAAAACGCAGTTCTAATGGCTTGGTATTCCTTCGACAAGTACTACAGCCTGACCGATCAGGTACCAGCTTATGCTGCAGCTTTGCTTCTGCATCCTTCAAGGCGAAAGCGCTATATTGATATGAATTGGAAGAAGTCTTGGGCTAGAGCAGTACTGCCAAAGCTCAAGAATCTCTGGGAAGAGAAATATGCTGTGATCGACGAAGCTAGTGCTCTAACCTTGTCGCAACCGACCTACGAGCCGGACGAATATGATCTTCTAGAGCGAGATCTGAACGTGGTTCAAAAGTTCGCCGACGATTGGGAGTCTTTCATCGAAGCCGATCCTACCGAGATCTCTACTAAGACTGCGCTGGAATGGTGGTGTCAAGAGCAGCAACGAACACGATACCCACGACTTTCTCATATGGCAATTGATGTCCTTTCCGTACCAGCAATGTCAGCAGAAGCAGAGCGAGTCTTCTCGGGCGCGCGACGTCAAATACCATGGAGCAGGGCCAGCTTGGGAGCGAAAACAATCAGGCTTGCAAACAGATAAATCAAATCAAATCTGACCTTCAATTTGATTTGATTTGGATAGACCCATGGTCGATTTGATTTGATTTGATTTGATCTGGATTGATTTGGATCTATTTGGATCTATTTGGATATTTGGATAGCCCCACTTCTCTCCCACGAGGAGATGCATTGAGCTGCTCCTATAATATCCGCTTGCAGTCGGCCTCTCTGGGCTGTAACCATGTGTCCTGCAAGGCTGAATATTCGCTCCGGCTCGGACGACATCGCAGGAATTGAAAAGAGATCGATTGCCATCCGTGACAGACGTGGATACTGGCGTCTTCGGAGAAGCCAATACTGAATCGGATCATCCACCGAGCAGTCGCCTGGATCGGCAGTGGCAATCCACGCTGTGTACTCATCGTGCGTAGCTGAAGGTAAAGGTGCAGGTTGCGTGGTGGGCTTTCTGATGGACGCCATAAAGTCATCTAGGTCGGTGGTCTTCCTTGTAACAGTGGGCTGCTCAGGTATCGTATCCCGCTCGACAGGGAGGATGCGATATTCCTCCCACAGTTGTTGCACGGCTGCCTTTCCTCTCACTAGCCAATCGGGATAATCAGCCTATTGTGACTCGACAGTTGACCACCAAAAGGCGGGGTGGAGGACAAGGGCTGCGAGATATGCAGGACTGTCCTCAGTGAGAGTGTAGTATTGGTCTAGCTTCATCCAACCAAGATTGCAACTAATCCGTAAGTGTGGTTCTTTATCTCGTTCATGTTGTATCTTTGACTCTTCTAGATGCTTCAGAAGCCACTCCATTGTCAGCAGAACCTCCTAGACCGCACCGAATTTCCCTAAAAAATATAAACACAAAGTTAAGCGGCAGGAAGCTAGATTTGGCTCACCTTCTTTGGGTCGGCCTTCGAGGCGCTTGGTAGCTGTCTTTAGCGGCTTTAATAGAGCTAGGTACTCCGAAATTACTGACCAGTCCTCAGCAGACATCTTATCGTTAACAATCGCAGGCTTCTTTCGGCTCTTCTTGGGCATCGGCTTTGTCCCGTTCTGAGTCCTCCTGGCCACGTACTGATTCCACTCCGTAGCTTCTGCCTAGACTATGGAGTCGAGCGCATTCCGAAGCTGGTAACCCCGTTCCATCATCGCCTTAGAGGAGTTCTAGCGGGTAGCGTTATCCGTGATCACATTGTACGTTGTTTTGTCTTTAAGATTTAAGGCGGTGTTCTTAATAAGCTGGAGCTTGTGGAGCTTCTCTATGCGCTGTCCTGACCTTTGCACCTAGTGGACAATATTGTGCAGCTTGCTGATTGGGCCCTTCGACCTCCAGAGCTTTATCTCGTCTTAGACCTCTTTGTCGGCTTGGCAGTCCTCCTTAAAGGCATCGGCGTCCGTGCCGAAGAGAATGGACCGGGCGACGAGGTTGATAATATGTCCACAGCAACGAAGCCGCCTGTGCTGCTTGTCGAAGCCGAACTCAGCGCCTAGGTCTTTAAGGCAGGTGTCATTGTTCTCTGCATTGTCTGTGACGAAGTAGCTAATACGATCCTCTAGCCTATATTCGTGAATTATTTTACTAACGCGGTCTGCAAGGTTCTCGCCACTGTGACGACCCTCGATTTGTGGCAGGCCCAGAAGGAATGTACGGAACTTCCCTTCGTTGTTAAGAAAGTGCACAGTGAGACTAAGAAGGGACGTAAACTTGCGGGAGGTCTAGGCGTTAAAGGAAATGTTAATCCGGCCTAATGAGCAGCTGAGAAGCTCTGTTACAACCCCCTTATGGCGATTAAAGGACTGTACAATCTATTCCCGCATGGTGCTGTGAGTTGGGAGACTCCCTAACTCGATAATCGCACCGTTTGCGTATCCTATAAGGTCTCGGAAATAGGGACTTTTAAGCTTGTTGAACGGCACATTGTCGCAGGCCACCTATTAAATGAGCAAAGCTTGAAAATGAATAGGATTGAATGAAGCTATAAAAGCATTTATTAAAGCCTGGTCCTTTGGCCGATGAGAGTCCAGGTCTGCTATGTCAAAAAGCGTGCGTTGTTTCTTCCTCTTTAGCGGCAGTTGCCTATCTTTGTTGATTCGGTGGACACTTTCCATATGGCTGTTTGCTTGACTTGTGGATGCAGAATCGTATATGTGCGTAGTTGTAGCCCTCTTTCGATGACACTCCTTACAGAGCTAGGAACGTCGACCTGACCCGGCTTTCTCGATGTCGTATCTATGCTCCTACACCCATCCCGTCCGCACCCTCCTTCCATGCTTGCGCATGCAATAGCCTGGAAGGCGGCTCTAATCGATGCCTTCGTAACTGGTGTAACCGACTGCGGGGGGTGTGTCTCCCCTCCCCTCTCTGCTGGGCTCGGATGGGTTGAAGTTAATGGGGCTGTCAAGGTTGCTGTAAGCGGTAGAAGGCGCAGTGGAAAGGCCTGCTGATGTGCTGTCGGCGTTAGGAGACTGCGCCATGTCAAATGCTAGCGAGGACTGTAGACTTCTAGACCAGTTACTACGCTCGCTGCTCGGAGCGACGGTGGAATAGAAGGATAGATTCGCCGAGCCACTCTTCGCGCA